TGTCTGGATAGCAGGATAAGTACATAACAATATATTAATTCAGTTCCTGAAATATTTTGTTATTCTAGGGAGCTGAAAGAATTTATGCATTTTCCCAGTGTCTCATTGATACAGATTTGACATTTACTTCACGATAGAGTTAATAGGATACCATTCTTGAGGTTCCAAATGTAGGCATAGTTTTGCTGGGTTTCTAGGATGCTCCTGTATCATTTGCTGCTACATGATTCTCAAATAAAGATATTTTGTGCCCTTAGCTTCACCCCTCTGTAAACATCATATTTCAAGATTCCTTTTGAAAAATGGCCACGTAGGAAGAAATCACGAAAAGGAAAATATAACCCCAAGTTTAACATTCATTGCTAGATTCAGTAAGTTGCATTTATTTAAATAAAAAAGAAATATACTGTACATCATTGATTTAGTTTGAAACAGTCATCAAAAAAGAATTCTTTGAGACAAAAATATTTAGTCCGTTTGTAAGAAATAATTGATGGACTGTAAACAGTGGAAGGAAACTGAAGTTCTATTTCCTAAGCAATTGCTCCTGTACATAACTGAATTGACTTTGAAAGTTTTCTACTTGAAAGTGCCTGTCCAAAGCCACAGTTAGTGGAAGAAGCCAACCTTGAAGAAAAATGAATCTTGAGTAAGAGAGAGGATTTTTTCAGTAAGTACCGAGGAACAATTCATGGTAGGTAATAAGAATGAGCCTTGAAAAGAAGAATTATCTCATTGATCTTGCCTGGCTGCTCAGGGAAAATATTCAACTGAAGAATCTCACAAGAGAAGAGGATGCTTCTGTATGAAATGGTGATAATTTATGTCAAAAAAAACAAAAAAAAAACCAAAAAACCAAACCAAAAACCAGACAGAGTGCTATTATTGCCATTAGGGAAATGGCTCAAATTTCCTTAAGCATCAAAACACCTACAAATCAGGTCCCAATGGAAAAGTCCAGTTGTTAAAACATGATATAGAGGGGAAAAAAATGAAGGTAGGTTTCCTTTTGAGTGAAGACAATGCAAAGCACCTATCTCTCTTCCCCACCCTTGTTTATAACTTTTGAAAGGCCCCTGGTCAAAGCAGATGATTAATAAGATCTTTATAGTATCTGTTTACATTTATTTTTCTGTCTAAATTATGCTCGTGCACATTCTGAATTCTAGAAAATGGGACACATTCAAAATTCTCTAGGATAGCAACATGTAAGTTCCACTCACCTTTCGAGAAAAAGCGGTTAGAAGAAATATTAGCTGAAAGTTGGTACACGTTAGAGTAAGCAGGAGCATGGCATAAGACATTAGCTTCAGTTTCTTTGGAATTAAAAAGAAAGTACAACCTGGGTTCTTAACATAACTTATTTTTCAGTCTCTTTAAATGTAGCAAATGAGTTGAGTTTTCATATTTACATTCTGAATGTATTCCTAGGGAGGAAAAAATGATTTCAAGTCTTGCAACCTCTGAAGAAGTAGCAATAACTTATTAATTGTGCCCTGGGTGATCTTAAACTGTGGCAGAAAAACAGCCTTAGAGACTTCCAAAGATGCATAAAGTTCTCCTAGGGGGAACAGTAGGGACACCGGGAGAATCTAGCTGCAGAAGTATTTCAAAAAAAGCCATTTACATGTTGAAGGAAAGGATTTAATTAATAGTGTTACAGCTGTGAAGTTAATATGCAGATCGGAGGTCCTATCACAAGGGACTGTTACATATTTTTTAAACAAGTCACTTCAGTCCTACATTTTTTCCCGTTACAGCATTTGCATAGTAATAAATATACGTCCCGAAGGCTTCGGGATGAGAATCATGATGTCTGTTAATTTCTTCAATAATAATAAAGATGATGATGTTGATGGCAATTATGAGAAATGCTATTTACCGAAACCTCACTCTGTGCCAAGATCCTTTCTAAGTCCTTTATATGCATTATCTTACTTAATACTTTCAACACTTCAGTAAAATTATTGCTGCGGTTTTCCTCAAAGGAAACAGAGACTCCAGGAGATTATGTAAATGCAGACCCATAATTATCGCTGATCCCACCACACTTGTACACCTTCCTTAAAAACAATCCAGCAATTTCCTTCAAGTTCTGGAAGATCTGAGGAGAATCAGGACCCTCAAGACCAGTGACAAACACATAATGCACAGCTGATTGGCAGACGAGCTAAAACGGAGAAGAATATTTGGATGTTGGGATCAAGAATCCCCAGGGAGGTGGGGGGGTGCCTGGGTGGCTCAGGCATTAAGCGTCTGCCTTAAGCTCAGGAAATGATCCCAGGATTCTGGGATCGAGCCCCGCATTGGGCTCCCAGCTCAGTGGGAAACCTGCTTCTCCTTCTCCCATTCCCCTGCTTGTGTTCCCTCTCTCACTGCCTCTCTCTCTCTGTTGAATAAAAAAAATAAAGTCTTAAAAAGAGAAAAAAGAATCCCTATAAGAGCCCAAATGTAGAATTGTTCATGCCCACAATAATGTGCACTAATAGTTAATAAGGATGATTACGTGGCTCCTGTCCCCGGAATAACACTGAATAGAGATAGGGTAGAAATCAATCTGAATCCAGTTTTTGGGAAAAGATCTGTTATTTTAGAATGGATATTTTAGGCAAACATCCAGGCCAAAGGAGACTTCTTTTAGTCTATCCAAGTGGGTAATGCCAAGAAATGCCTTCACGAACTAGTAAGAAATAGCTCTAAAAAAGTACATCCCAGCATATATGGAGAAGGAATTTCTTATAAAAACTGCAGTCCAGTCTGGAAAGGTTGCAGAGGGGCTTGGGTTTGTCGAATGTCCTTAACTCGATTCAAGTTTTCAGAATAGATTTCCTAGACTGAAACTGAGGCTAAACTGTGGCTAACCAGGGAAATGTTCCCAGCCTTTGAGGCAGTTAATAGAAGGAGAACAACAGAAAATCTTTGGAGTCATCTATCCTTTTAATGACCTAGAATAGTTGGTTGATTGTCTAATGGCATTTGAATGCGTGATAAAATGAGTGACTGGGCCTAGTATATCTGTCGTTTTTAACCTTGCACCCAAAGAAATGAGAAAGAAAAAGAACCCTTAACAGGCATATTGATATTAGAAAAGCAGTTACAAAAAGCAGTTTGCTGAAGTTACCTTGCGCAGCGGAGGGAAAACAGACTGGTATGGGACAAAGACTACTATTATCTTCTTGCCACTTGCTAGGGTTGTTTTGAAGGTCACCTGAGTTACCATAAATGATGTGCTTAGAACAATGCTTCATACCCCACAAGTGTTGATTACCACTACCATTTATCGGCAAACTGGTCCCGTTTATATCTCACCAAGACTTAACGAGGTTAAATGATTTGCCTAAGGGCCTGTGGTTAATAAGTCCTAAAGACAAGATTTAAGAGAAAGACTTAGGATTTCAAGTTCAGTTTCCTTTTAGCGCACCATGTTACCAATTCCACAGGACCAGTTTCTTCTGGTCTAATATTTTTCCAAAAAATATCGGTTTATATGGAAGAAAATAGAAGAGAATTATTACCCCGTACAGTAATGATTTAAAATGACCATTCAAATTACAAGATATAAAATGCCATGGTTTGAAAAATGCTATGCTTAACTTATTATTATATTTATTATATTTATTATATTCACAAAATTTGCATTTTAAAATTACTTTATAATCTGCATGTTACAGAAGATACCAAGGCACTGATTTAAGTACTTTTTTCTGTCTTAAAAATTAGAGATAAAATGTGATTAATAGCACAAATATTAAAGGTAGGTACTTGTGCATTTGTAAAAAAGTCAGTATTAGCAATGTCATTTTTGGTTCCCAAACACATTTGCCAATGTGAGAAAATGATGACAAGTTCTAATTATAAAGTTATAGTGTAGAATCAAGAGTAACCAACTCAGGAGGTTCTGGAGAAAATCCTTCAGGGAGTTTTGCTGCTTAGCGGAATCAAAAACTCTTTGTTACTCTATTGGACTTCAATGGAGCCTAACAATTCTGAGTCTGTGCTGGCCAATGCAAATTTCTAAGATCTAAAGCTGCAAATGCTCGTAGAAGACCATTATGTTACGCAGACATTTTCAGACGATCATACAATAGAATAAGTGAGCAGCCACAGAGTCGATAACGAGAAATCTAAAAAAAGAAAAAAACAAAACAAAACAAAACACAACAACCAAACTACAGCTTTCTTATTCTTCTGGTAACTATACTGTTCCATTTCTTCTCTATGATTTCTACAAATAAAAATTGTGCTGGTTTAAGAGGAAAATGTGTGAGACACCCAGCTAGAAACTTTACCCAAGATGCTTTTACATTGGGATGGCCATCAAAAGCTGGTTTTGCAGGAGTCACCGTGAAAATTCCGTGCTCTGCTGACACTCGTCATAGACAGACAGAAACGAGGCTGGTAACATGTTGCATCAAGACAGCTCTCTCTGTCTGAGCAGAATTTCAAGGTGCACTTAGTTGTTAGTCAAGGGACCCTCCAACTACACGGATAAGGCTTTCATCCTTTGTCACACTTTTTTTTTTTTTCAGAATTCATATTGAAGCAAAGATAGCGACTTGCTATTCATATTGATTATATTAACATTTTCATTAATCCCCATTTCCACTTTAAATCATAGGAATGCTCAAAACCATTTTCCACTTAATATTTGGGGCTGTTGTCATTGTAGCATGAAGCCTTTTTAAGAGGGACACGAGGATACACTAGACGCTGAGTTTCAGCACAGCTGAACAAACCACCGCAATGCCAGTTTTGAAATCCCATTAAATTAACACTCTCCCAAGATCATTCTTTTCTGATCAGTATCCAAACTTATTTTCGATTAGTATTACATTTCTAGAGTTACTCAGATTACTCTCTCTCTACACACACACACACACACACACACACGCACGCACGCACGCACACACGCACTCTATACACACACATACATATAGTCATAATAATTATTTATTAGTGTCCTCTTTTTAAAGTGTACTTTAAAAGCATGATAAACTTACCTTAGAGAGTCCACCTACTTCCAAATAAAAGCAGATAATGAACACATTCCAGGTGACCCAGAGGGCAGTCCATACTGTGTACTAGAAAGAAAGGGGGCAAGGGGGAGAAAGAGTTGAAAAATGTAGAGATGGAAGTCATGTATGCTAAATAAGTCAATAATAAAAATGTCAATAAGTCTAAGTCTTCTGGGAAGAAGCAGGGTGCATTCAGAAAAGAGTGCTCCTTATGAGGTCCCCTAAGATCTAGAAATTAAAAATCCAATAGTTTCTTCGGCTTTCAGTAGATGCCAATAAAGCTAGATTTATTTTTAAAGTGCTTTGCTGGCTTGTAGATAAAGTTAAATCCAAGCGCTGACTTGATTTCTGTTTTCTGAGTATTAGCGTTTCCAGGGAATACAATTATGCACATTTTTGTGAGTTATCTATCTATCTTTTAGTTATAATATTAACCTGTCAAGTTTTTAGGAATGTTAGTCAAAACTCGGCACTTCATATCTCTGAACAAAGACCATGTTTGAAAATAGATGTATGGGGGCGCCTGGGTGGCTCAGTGGGTTAAAGCGTCTGCCCTCAGCTCAGGTCATGATCTCAGGGTCCTGGGATCGAGCCCCACATCGGGCTTTCTGCTCAGTGGGGAGCCTGCTTCCTCCTCTCTCTCTCTCTCTCTCTCTGCCTGCCTCTCCACCTACTTGAGATCTCTGTCTGTCAAATAAATAAATAATATCTAAAAAAAAAATAAAATAGATGTTTGGAGTAAAATTAACAAACTTTCCTATTGAAATATTTTAGTATGAGTGGAGTGGGTATACCTCCAAAGCGATCATGTAAAATAATTTTTCAAAAAACACAAAAATTAAGAAATAGGATGAAGAATGACCAAACAAATGACAAATTTCCATAATGGGAATATACCTTCCAATCACATCCAACAGACTCTAAACATAATTGCCTTACTGACTAATTGGTTTTATTAGCATAATATGTATTAGAAAATGCCTTCCCTGAGAATATTGGTCAGTCTGAATTAAGGTAGCCTTAGATCAAAACTCATCTGTGGAGAAGGTCTTAGGGCACAACACATCCAGTCACTGAAGGAGAAACTGAGATGTACAACTGACATATGGACTAGCTTGGATGACTGAGGACGGAATTCACTCTGGAAATGTAATACAATGGTTTTCTCATTCATTTTACTGTACTACAAAAATCTATAAATCCTTAATTCTTTAAATAGACATACTAATTAAATCGCTGCGTTTAGTGGTGATTTTAATCATCACATGCTATTGTCAAATTAAAATAATTATTGAAATCATTTCATTAGCTTACTCTGTGCTGTCTCAAATAATAAAATTATGAGTTTTAAACATTGTATAAAATAGCCACGTTCCTATCAGAATCCTTATCAGAAGCTTTTAACTATTCATAATATTTAATTTACATTTTCTATCTTTCTGTCATTTATGATTTTTAAAAGGCTTTCAAAATAATCTTATGTAGGTGCAAAGTTTTATAAATGGTGACCTTTGATGTCACATCATCTTTTGTGAGGGGGGTTTTACCTTTGTTTTGTTATAAATAATAATAATAATAATAATAATAACTATTATTATTATTATTATGAGTTAAGGTTCCAAAATCACTGGAAATTTAGAGAAGCTGGCAAATAAGTTAAATCATTAACACAAATTAAAATATACAGTGAGGTTTTTGGTATTTGTAGATATTGTCGATGCTTCCAGTATTTTCTGTTAGTAAAGTCTTCTGATATGGAGTTAGACAGTTTTTAAAATGTGCCAAGTGCCTTGACATACACTTTTATAAGTCACAAAATGTTCCTATGAATAGTCAAAATAGCTAACCTTCATCCTCAACGTTTTGCAAACTGATCAAGTCACAATAACCACAACAAATTTTAAAGCTGTTGCTAATCGGTATCTGACATTTTTCCTTCTAAATTAATCTCATTATGAGTCTATCAGAATGAGAGAACAGTGCAGACTGCTAAGTCATGAGAAAAAAAAGCCAATGATAAAGGTTAAGGTAAGGACATAAAAGAAAGTAAGACTAACATAAGGAAATAAACAAAAGTAATTGCAAAGCTATATGATTCTTAATTATTAGGACAGAGAACTTAGACGTTTAAGTATTCTTTTAGAAAAGATAATCCACTCACGATTATAACAAATGCATAATAAAATAAATCTGTTTAAAAATCAGTGCACTGACTCAGTGACTGAAGTGATTCATGCCACTTGTGAACTTTCAAAGATAAAATTATCAGGCTGAGTAGATTCCAAATGTCAGCTGCTAATTCCTAACAATAACATGAGCTATTATTCTGCTGCTTTCTATGTTCTTGGTACTGTGTTAAGCACTTTCTATGTTCCTGGTACTGTGCTAAGTACTTGATATTGATCAGGTTATTCAGCCATCACTCTAAACCAAGCAAGAGAGAAATCATTTGACCCCTACTTAGTGTCAGAGCTGGCAGAGGAACTCTAACATTCTGACTTCAGAGCTGAGATCCTTAAGTATTACATGACAGGTTTCATTTTAAAAGATCTTAGGCACAGGACCATGGAATAATTTAGAAGTTACTACTTCACCAAATTTTGCAACTTATCAAGTCACCAATTCACCAAATTATCAGTTTTTCAAAAATTAGTTTCATTTATATAATTCTGCAGCTGGCAATGTATTTGAATAACTATTTTGCACTTGGCAACTAATGTGTTTTGCGTGATATAAACATTATGGTTTTTTAAAAGCCATACTCTAAGCTTCTTTCTTCTGATATTGGTTTGTTGAAAACAAAAAGTAGTTGTATGACTGAGTTTTGGACAGTTATGACATGAGAACGATATATGTCAGCCTGCACTGGAGACACAAGTCTCTACGTAGAGATATAGGGAAAGCGAAACACATCCATAGGCATTTACCTACACAGGAAGTATTAGGACAACATATGTATTCTTTTTCTTAAAGATTTATTTATTTATGAGAGAGAGAGAGAGAACATGAGCAAGTAGGGGGAGGGGCAGATGGAGAGACTCTTCAAGTAGACTCCTCGGTGAGTGCAGAGCCAGACATGGGGCTCTATCCAATGACCCATGAGATCATGACCTGAGCTGCATCCAAGAGTCGGACATTCAACCCACTGAGCCATGCAGGCACCCCAATATATGTATTCTTTTTGACATGGGTTATTTTATTTATAATTCAACTGAAATAAGAAATAAAAAGGAAATGACTCCATTTTTAAGAAATACCTTCTGGTTATCATGGAGCGTGCCTATATGCTCATATATCCAGATACATATACTTGCAGTATAGAAAACAACTTCCCAATATAGATAAATTACTCTGTATAATTATCTAGCTACCTATTTATTTGTTGTACTTTGCCTATGTTCAGTACACATATTTTAAGTCCTAATTTACATAAATAAAGCCTATAAGATGAAACAAAAAATGCCCGTGTGTTCTAAGTAGCTTCCTGAATATTTCATGGTTTTACAAAGATAGTTCAGTGTTTTTTTAAGGGAAATGAATTTTGGAAGTCTTGCAATCTATTTCTTCCTCATTGAGCAATTAGTCTATAACATGAATTATTTTTACTTCCTGAGCTTGTTTTCCAATTACCAGAAAGGCCATTTTTTCATTTATTCACATGTGCATCAATCAGATACAGTATTATGCACAATATATTAGACTTAGGATTTTAAAAAGTAGGTTTCTTGCTCACTCATTGTTCTAACAGTTTCTGGAGTTTAGTATTCATTTCCAGAAGAACTTGAGAGTAATGTGCTGTCCCCTTCATTTTAATTGCTCCAAAAGCAGAGTGAAAGCAAAAAAAGATATATTGAACAGTTCAGTCATTTACCAAGCACTTACTCTGTGTTCAGTTATGTTAAGCAAGTCACATACATTACCTAATATAATTCTTAAAGACAATCTGAGTTAGGTTTTTACATATGAGGTTAACTATGGGACAAATAAAGTAAATTAATGCCCCAAGACTTCACACCCAATAATTGGTGGAGGGGATATAATATAGGACCAATTAAATGGAAAATGGACACTTTTTTAATTTTACTTTTTCAGTGTTCCAAGGTTCATTGTTTATGTACCACACCCAGTGCTCCATGCAATACATGCCCTCCTTAATACCCATCACCAGGCTCACCCATCCCTTCGCCTCCCTCCCCTGTAAAACCCTCAGTTTGTTTCTCAGAGTCCACAGTCTCTCATGGTTCTTCTCTCCTTAACTGTCATGCAGAGTAGTAGCTCAGGAAGGAGGTTTATGATGACATAGCAGGGAATTTTCCCCATAACAATTCAAATTACACAAGTTCTTGTTTGCACATGAACTTTTTGCATAAAAGTGCCAATAACTAAACTGTGGACCTAGAAAATTAATTTGGCTTTCTTTCTAATTTTTTAAAAGCAGTTTTGAATTAATTTCCAAAGTTGGTATTTATACAACAAAATTTTTAATTAGCTAATGCTTTTGCATTTAAATTAATTTAAAACTGCCTAATTCAATTACTGCCCATGAAATAACAGGTTTAAATAATCCTAAGGTAGAATCTCATTTTGGGATGTCTATGTAAGATTTAAAATATTTGATATAGGAATAAACAGACAGGAAGGAACAGTTGATTTTAGAACAGTACTTTATGCTTTCTGCTTCATTTTGTCTATAGTGAAAGAAACACAAAAGGTGTATTCAAACCCTACAACTGACCTTGGTATTCACTAAATAGACATCTCTGTAGATAGGTAGATGGATAGATAGATATCTCACACCTTGCACCTATGCTAAAATAAATTTCAATCAGTAAAAAGTACCATATGACAAAGTTGTTTTGGTGTTCTAAAAGTAAATATAACAATAACAAACTGCACCTTATCTGTAGTGATACTATCCAGAGTGGAATTACTATTCTTTTGTTTTGTGATTGACTGCATTTTTCTAATAGTCTTTGCTATAGGACCTCCTCAAATACAGTGGCAGGAGTCCACAACACTCTATTGCTTTAAAAAAAAAAGAGTAGTAAGTCAGCTAATGGTAGGTGAAAGCAGAGCAGCACATATCACATATCATGTAAATCCTCAGTTGAGCTCAAATTGAGATCAAAAAGACAGTAAGGCCAGTTTCTCTTATTGAACTACTGTAGGTATGTTCTGAGATAAGAAATCACTGTCCAGTCCATCCTATGAAGTAATCTCATCCAATAGACTTTAATTCATTTATTCCTTGTTCTTTCAAGTATAAGTATCTTTAAAGCCCCATGCATACCAGGAGAAACCTAGAATACAGCAAGGGGTAGGAGCAATGAGCCTGCCAGCAGGACATGAGTGAATGGAGCGAGACAGGAGAGAAGCGAGGGTTCTTGCTGTGCAGAGAGCTAGTGTGGAAGGTGTCACCAGGATCCACGGGAGCAGAGAGGAGGAGGCACTTACCCTGGAGCAGGGTGCTGGGCAAGGCTCTGAAGAGGTGACCATTCAGTGGAAGCAATAAGAGTTTTCCAAGAGGGCAAGGAGAATAGGGCATTCCAGGCAGAAAGTGGAGTGTATGCAAACAGAGGAGGCAAGAAACAGCATGTGGTCTTTAGAAAACACAATAGCTGCACACAGCTGCTATGAGGTAGGGAAGTGGGGTGGGCAGAAGAGGTAAGCAAAGGAGCAGTCTTTATGAGCTTTGATTTTCCATGCTAGGAAGTCAGAAGTTTGCCAATAGACACTGTAGAGGTTGTTCTGAGTGGTCCTTTACCATAACCATTTTCATAAGGGTGATTAATTCTTTAAATTCAGCTGTGATAAACCCTGTTTGTTGTCAGAAATGGCAGTAACTTACCATCTGAATTTCAGTGCTCCAAAATGACTGTTACTTGGAAATGGATTACGTTTAACTGGCATTATGGATGATTGTTTCAGCCAACAAAGGACGCTAATACTAAGAATACTGCAGGTGAATTAGAGAGAAAATCTCCTGCAATCAAAAAACTTTCTCCCTGCTCTGTGAAACTTCAGTATGAATTTCTGATCCAGGACTCCTCTCATTGCCACTGAAAAGTTGGTGCCTCCTGAGGCACCTCTTGATTAACGTGGCATATGCCATATTTGTTTTCTGACTTTTTCATACTAGAGTTAATCCCTGGCCGCTAGTGGTAGATTCAAACCAAAGCATTCATGGAAACAACTCAGGGATGAACTACCCGTGGTGTGAAGAAAGTAACATGGCCTAGCCATCCTCCCAATAACAACTTGATCTTCCCATTAAAGGTACACTTTGTGAATAGATTTCCCATGCTTGTGGATTAAGGATTCTTCAACCATTTCTCCCAAATGGACAATTTATACCCATGTTAGAATAAGAGGTAATCTGGAATCCCATACAGGTGACAATATTCTGTGATCAGCTGAGGTGGCAGGGCAGGATCCTTTTCAATATCAAAATTTATACTGCAATGCTACCTTATCATCTGGAATCTGGTGGTTAAATGTAATATAAAATAATCATGATAAATCAACTTCAAGAACCTGACAATACACATCCAGTTCTGCCACTTAACTACCTGGCCTCCTGGGGTTGGTCACTTAACCTTTCCTTGTCTGTAAAATTAGGGATGCTGACACATACCCATAGGTATTTGTGAAAATTAAATCCAACGGCATCTTTGGTGAGGAGGGCTTTCCCACCAACTCATTGCTTTCTGGCATATGTTCTGTCCTGGGATATGTTCTTAAGTGAGATAGCAAACAAACAAACAAACAAACAAACAAAAGGTAGAAATCTGATTGGCATCCACATTAAAAGAGAAATTCAACATGAGTAAAACCATGGATTGTTTTTCTAATAGATTTTTCTTGAAGACACTTAAAGATCTAAATCCTCCTCCTCTTATGCCCAAGAGGAAAAAGGGAGAGGGGGAAGAAAAGAAAAGACACCAGAGAAAGAAGTGACACCAGTTCTATCATGAGTGAACTCTAAATGGATAAACAACTACATGGGGAAAACAATAAGTAAGTATTTACTGAGCATCTAGTACATTCCATGTTCTCAAAGAACGCTGCCTAGTGGGAAGACATAAGTGTGAACCAATTATAAAACATGCTCAAGACATAGAACAGGAGTGATTAACTACTGATCAACCCAAACAATCCTTGCGTAGAATGAAGGAAGTGTGCTCCAGTCCCTGGAGGACTGCAGGGCTATACGGGTGAGAGGCTGGAGAAGCGGGTAGAAGCAGGACGCAGGACGTGGAAGTGTACAAACTCTCAGCCCTGTCACCCTTCTCATGGCCCTTTCACAATCTTTTCATCACCTCCTGAGACCCCGGGTCTGTATTTGATCACCAACATAGCCCACACTTAACACAATGCCAAACACATGGCAGAAACTTGATAAATAGTATTTGAATGAATACGTTAATGAAGAAAAGGAGGAAGAAAGTTAAGAAAGAAGGGAGGTAGATGCACCTGGCTGGCTCAGATGGAAGAGTGTGCAACTTGATCCCAGGGTCACGAGTTTGAGCCCCATATAGGATGTAAAGTTTACTTAAGTAAATTTTTTTTTTTTTTTTAAAGGGAGGGTAGGAAGGGGAGAAGGAAGGAAAGGAGGGAGAGAGGACAGACTGACTGTGAGATCCATGCTCGGTCAGGTGGTCAGCCAAGGATATTCTTAGATTTATCTTGCTAAGAGCTAGTGAAGTGTTTTAAGCCCGTGATTTAGGGAAAATGCAAAGGACATACTGGAAGGTAGGAAGGCTGAAAGCAGGCAGGAAGTCCATTTCCCGGAAAGAAAAGTCAGAAGCCTCAACCGTAGCTGTGTGAGAGTGTATAGAGCTAGTATTGTGGAGGGTACAACCAACAGGACCAGGTAATGGCCCTAATGTGTGCCAACAGCTTCATTCCAGAGAGGTCACTGGCTTTCCAGCTCCCTGGCATTTGGGGCTTCCATGGAACACCAAAATCATAAAATATAAAGTCTGCAGTGAGTAAAAGTGCTGTGTTTACAGTAACAAACTAGAAAATAGAATCCAATATGATAGTTTGCTATTACGCATATTGAAGTGTTTTATGCTACAAATCCAACTGCATGAGACACCCTTCTAGCAGATTATACATGCCTTAGCAGAGGCTGACTTTCAGAGAAGAAGAGTAAGGCAGAAATTGTTCAGTCCCCGCAGCTGGCTGGGTGATACCAAACTCTCTTAACACCCGGGCAGCCATTTTGAGTTCAGAGTCGGCTGTCGGTCACTTCGGTGATGTGGGGAAAGATACAAAAAACCAGTTGGAGATTCAAAATAGAGAATTAACGTATTCACAGAAAAATGCATGGCTTTATTCTTTCCATAGTTGTGCCTGGATTAAATCAAAATTGAAAGAGGGCATATGTTTAAGTCTAGGGTTTTCTTCTCGTGAGGCTAGGTCACCGCATTGCAAGAAAATACTAATTCTTCTGAACATGGTATATATATTTAGGCTTAATAAGTATTTTAGGGGGCGCCTGAGTGGCTCAGTGGGTTAAAGCCTCTGCCTTCGGCTCAGGTCATGGTCTCAGGGTCCTGGGATCGAGCCCCTCATCGGGCTCTCTGCTCTGCGGGGAGCCTGCTTCCTCCTCTCTCTCTGCCTGCCTCTCTGCCTGCTTGTGATTTCTCTCTGTCAAATAAATAAAATCTTAAAAAAAAAAAAAAAGTATTTTAGGTATGTTATTCTTAGTTACAATCACTTATATAGGCTTAATTCTCACAACTTTACACATGTAGCCTAAAACACTGCCTTCTTTTTAGAAAACTAATTACTGTGAATAACTCCCATTTAATTGTGGAACACAGTATACACGTCATTAAACTGTCCTGCAATGGAGAGTGTGCTGACCATGTTTGGTGTAGTTGGAGTATGGAATCAACATTTCAAATTAATCTTAACAAAATGGGACAAGTTCAATGATATAAAGTATGAAATACATTAGGGATGAGTACTAAATAACCTTCAGTGCAAGCATTTGTAATGCCCTAAATCATTTAAAATTAAGTTCTATTATTGTTATCAGTAAATAGTTATGGTTATGAAGGTTTGCTTTTTAGTGACATACATTATGGAAATGGCAGTTAATGTATATTTATGTCTCATCATGACAGCCAGACCTCCTACTCTATCCAAACCTTGTTTTGATTTTCCTTATGAAACTTGAATTCACCGTTACATGGTGTCTTGATCTATGTGTCTCATGTTCACACTCATGTTGCTTTGATCTCACTGTAAGCATTCAATGAGTCATTTTCCCACAGATTAGCATCTCCAAACAGAATTCAATACCTAAAGGCTTGAACAACAATGCCACATCATATCCAAGGGAATAACTTAATGATATTTCATTAACCTCCATTTAATAATTTTGTAGCACTTATTGCAAAATACAGGATAAAAATAAAACTTACCACCACAATATATCGAGGTCTGTACTGAATAGTTCCAAACAAACCCAATATAACGACTATTATATGTAGAAAATTTCCAAGAATTGGTGCCCACTGGAAGCCAAGGAAGTCAAAGATTTGCCTCTCCAAGGCTGAGAGCTGAAATAAAGCAAAGAGAGTCCATTAGCATCTAATCCAAGCATCATCACACCATTTTAATATTTATTCATGCCTAGAGAAGGCTGCACAGTCAATTTCAATCACACTCATGGACATCATCATCACTAGAGTTGTGACACTCATTTCATGTACTATTTTATGCAACTTCTCTCAGAAAATATGCTAAGATAAGTTCGAGGTTATAAAGTACAAAGAGATTTTAAACCTATCTGAAGAGCTTGACATATGCTCCTTAAATCATTTTCTCAGTAGAAAATCCAGGAAGATATTTTAGAGTATCATATTCTATGATATGAGTTCATCCATTTTTTAAAAAGATTTTTTTTTTAAATTTGAAAGAGAGAGAGAGAGAGAGAGAGAGAGAGAGCGCATGCACGCTCATGAGGGAGGGGGTGGGCGGAGGGAGAAGCAGACTCTTCTTCTTCTGCTTCTCTCCCTCAAGAGGGATCTTGAGGGATCCAGACGTGGGACTCAATCCCAGGACCTGAGCCAAAGGCAGCCACTTAACTAACTGAAACACCAAAACACCCTGAGTTCATCATTTTTTAAAAGATTTTATTTATTTATTTATTTGAGAGAGAGAATGCGGGCACCCAGAAGAAGGGGGGAGGGCAGTGGGGGAGAGACAACAGACTTCCTACTGAGTGAGGAGCCTGATGTGACTTGATCCCAGGGTCCTGGTGAAGGCAGATGTTAATTGACTGAGCCACGCAGGCGCCCACCTAGTTCATAATATTTTTTTTTAAATAAAATGATTGGCTCAGTATAACACACTTGGAAAAATAACCACAGGCTTGAATGCTAGAAGTGGTATGATTTTGGAAAACAAGCAAACAAACAAACAAGCAAAATAAAACCCAAATCTCCCACTCATCCCTGCCTTCTTGTAAGAAATATAGATTACCAAATGTATTTGGTTTCTTTGCTTTCATTAGTCCATCATGGATGATAATGACTAACCATTTTTTCATAATGAAGCTTAGTGATTTATTAAGCTCTGGACTCATAGCTCCCATGTAAAACTAAGTTAAATAATTCTTTTGGATCATATTTTATTGAGATCATATACTTATATGAGAATTCATCCTAGATTAGGCAAAATCCATTTTGAATAGAGAATTAAAAATTACGGGACTATTACAATTGTAGACATGCCACAGTTTATTACATTTGCATTATATACAATTACATTTTAATCAATTATACACTGTATTAAAACATACACTTAAATAATCTGTGTATGATTGATGAAACAGAAGAATTTCATAGAGTTCAGTGAATGCCAAAAATATCATTATCCTATTAAAATGATATTTATTGTATTGGATATCTAAAAATTTTATAGTTCCACCTGCTGTATTTGGATACTGATTTTATACCTTTTGGGCATTTTTCTAAATTTACTTTGATAAAATAGTAATTCTAATAAAATGATCCCACAAATAGCTATGTTGATGGTACTAGAAACTGCAGATTTGAAATGAAAATGGTACCCTAGGTATTTTTCTAGTTATGTGGCAGGTGTATGCCTGAATAGCTTTAATTTCCATGGACATAAAGAAATGTCCTCCATCCAGAAAGCTGAATTTACCTTGGTTAAAATTCACCTTCAGCAAGCTGTGGAGGAGAAGAGAAATGAGCAAATGCCTAAAGACAACCACACCAGAACCACATTCATTTCATGGGCATTTCCTGATCATCAAGTGATCTGTCACCATCCCTTGCTCGCACAAGTGAGAGGAAGCACAGAAATGGCTAAAATGTGAAATAATCAGAGGAAGGTAAGAAGCAGCACCATGTTTTCAATCCCCTGTTTGTTGTTCGTGACTCTAATTAGTTCCCTGGAACCTTCCCCTAAAAATGCAGCATTTTATTTATTGGCCCATCAGCGATGTAAATATGCAGTTTTTTTTATGTCCAAACAGGATGGATGTGCTCAGATAAAAAAGAAAGCCTGAAGAGCAGCTGCAGGCAATTTATTCTGAAAAGCAACCCTATTTTAAAGCTGTCGCGCATCACAAAAACCTTTAAAGTGAACTTTTCAAACAGAGAAAAATCCATTTTTTTTTTCTGTCAAAAGATGCTTGGACAGCATTCTCTTTTATGATATTAAAGAAAACACACATAATGAAAGAGAAGCTGAATTAACACCACTTATTAGAAAATCTGCTTTCTTTCTTGAAGACACTATATCTATTAAGTTTGTTCTCTGATAACTTACTTAAAAATGGATTCAGGTGGCTTAAAATAAGAGCACAAATGAAAGGTCAGAAAAAATCTAAACAGGGAGGGGATCATACCGAGAATTAAAAGAAAGGGAGCTTTAACGACTATTAGAGCCAAGAAAAGTAGGCTTCAGTAGTTGACCCTGAACAACACGGGTTTGAACTGCACGGGTTCTTAGATGAGAATTTTTTTATAAGTACAGGATGGCACCGTAAGTGTATTTTCTCTTATGATTTTCTTAGTAACATTTTCTTTTCTCTAGCTTACAATATTATAAGAATACAATATATAATATGCAAAATATACAAAATATGTGTTAATTGACTGTTTTCATTATTGTAAGCCTTCCAGTCAACAGTAGGCTATTGGTAGTTAAATTGTGGGGGAGTCGAGAGTTATATTTGGATTTTCAACTGTGAGAGGGGTTGGTGTTCCTAACCCTCCTGTTGTTCAAGGGTCAACTTTGTTGTATTTTAAAAAGTCAACTAACAACAAAAAGTCCATCCAAAGTAAACAAACCACCATTGTATTTTTTTTACTTGATTATTTGATCTAATTTCCATGTTAAGTTATTTTGTCATTTAGTTTATAGGCAAAGATCTTCTCTCTAAATGTCATAATTTCTAGAGATACCACTTATTGCCTTAGAGCTTGACATTAATAATAATGACCCAGAGCCACTAAATGATGTTAAATGAGATCCAGGTTGCTTTGTTAACTCAGAAAGGATGAATTTATTTTAGAAATATCTCTGTCAGAATGGTTCTCATCAACGGAGCATGCCCGGGAGTGCACACTGGGTGCATCTCTTCCCAAATCCATGGTCAGTGACCTCAAGTTGGGAACCTGACATCAACCATTATGGGAATATGTACAATATGGACATCGGTAAATGCTAAAAAGCAGGGTTTTGTTTGTTATAAGAATGTTAAATGTTACCTGTACACCACTGAATATAGCGCCTAGAAAACAGTGGTTCTGATCCAGAAAGGTAATGAAAGGAAATGATCAAATATACAACGCAGCATGAACAGAAGGCACCCAGCCCCGATGAGCACAGAAGCATGGATGGGCTCAAAGACAGTACTAGCAGAGATGCCACAGCAAAGAAGAGAATGACTGAGACATTTGACGATTTTGAGATATCAATAAAGTAGAGAAATCAGGAAAATTTAAAGGACACTCCAGAGAAAGCAAAAAACCAACCAGTCACCAGTGTAAAACATGAAGCAGTGAGCTAAAGAACAATGAAATCCTTTCTAAGTGAACTGTAAAGAAGGTAAAACTCTAGAAGCTATAAGAATATGATGTAATAGGGTATGTTTCCTAATAAGATAAAAAGTAAATACAATCAGAATCTTAATCAAAGGAAGGAGAAGCAGGATGGAGGGAAAGAAGGAAGAGAAAGAGGGAGGGAGGGAGGGAAGAAAGAGGACCAAATCAGTGATGTAAGGAAAGCATGGTTAAAGATACAAAGCAATTTAGAATGGGGAGTTATTTTGAATGTAAATATGAAGAAGCCATTCAAACATTCTCCTTGAGTGGTAGAGGGATAGGACCATTGGAACTATAGGAGAGAAATGTAACCCTAGCTCATACTTGGGGCTGCATGAAAAATAGTCCATACTCATTATAATGTAAATGTTGCTTAGTGGATTACAGCTTTCAGAATCAAATTGTAAGAAGTTTGGAAGTTTTCATTATGGTTATGGAACAAAATGAATGTGTGATTTGACTATATAAAGTATATTCAACAAAAGTTGGGAAAGGCTTAATATTCTGTATGTATGGCAATGGGAATGGAGTTGTGCTCTAAAATTCTTTTTGTAGGGTTAGGCATTTCCTTTCACCAGGCTTCAGGGTAGGAATATTCCTTATAAATCTATGAATCATTAACTGCAACCCACATTAACCACACATACCAATATCAAGAAATATTTCTGCTTCCTTATTTTATACCCATACAAATAGGAGCACCTTTAAAATACAGTAACTTTCTTACTTTTTTAAAAGATTTTATTTATTGATTTATTTGTCAGAGAGAGAGAGAGAGAGAGAGTGCACACACACAAGCAGACAGAGTGGCAGACAGAGGCAGAGAGAGAAGCAGGCTCCCTGCCTAGTGAGGAGTCCAATATGGGACTTGATCCCAGGACCCTGGGATCGTGACCTGAGCCAAAAGCAGTGGCTTAACCCACTGAGCCACCCAGGCATTCCACAGTAATTTTCTTATTGATCCATATATTATGTTTAATGATTCACACGGTGTTTTGCTTAAGTGCTCATAATTATGAATAATTGTGAAAATTAATTTATACTTAATTAAAAAGCTATAAAAACTTTAGGTGACCAAACATTTCCCTGGGCATTTGCCTAGGCTGGGTCTACACAATAAGCTTCTGCCCAAACAAAAGCTGGGTTAGAAAGCATTTCTCTCACTGGACTTCCAAATGGAGAAGACAAAAAGGGTGATACTAAAAAAACATCTGACGAAGTAATGGATGAAAACTTCCCAAAACTAGCAAGAGAAATAAACCTAGAGATTGAACAAATTTAGTGAACCTCTATCAGAAAAAATCCAAAGAAATACATGACAAGATGCATCATAATTAAACTTCTGAAAACTAAAGACAGGTAGGTAAACTATCCTGACAGCACCCAGAGTAAAACAACACTTAAATTACAGGGGAAAATAATTTTAACTCATGGAGCACAATATTTTTCAAATACTGAAAGTAACTGTAAACTGAAAA